CAAGTCAGCTCTGACCCTTTCCTATGCTACCACTGCACCTGCACCATAGGCACTTCCTTATTCCTCAGAACCTTGACCTTCCGATCCCTAATTGCCACCGGTCTCTCAACATAGTTCAGGCCTACATCCACTTGAATGTCCTCTAATGTTACCACTGCCAACTCGTCGGCTATACACTTTCTCAATTGCGACACATGAAAAGTGTCGTGAATTTGACCCAACTCCACAGGTAGCTCCAAACGGTAGGCTACCTTGCCTACCCTCACGATCACCCTGAAAGGTCCAATATATCGAGGCCCCAACTTGCCCCTCTTCCTGAATCGGATCACTCCTTTACAAGGAGAGACCTTCAAGAGTACGAAGTCACCGACCTGAAACTTGAGCTCGGACCGACATCTGTCCGCATAACTCTTCTGATGACTCTGAGCGGTCAGCAACCTCTACCTGACCTGTTGTATCTACTCAGTTGTTTGAAGCACGATCTCCGTACTACCCATTACATGTTATCCCACCTCTCCCCAGCAAATGGGGGTCCGACACCTCCTCCCCATACAACAACTCAAAGGGTGGCATACCAATGCTCGAATGATGGCTGTTGTTGTAGGAAAACTCTGCCAAGGGAAAATATGTGTCCCAACTTCTGCCAAAATCCAATACACATGCTTGGAGCATATCCTCGAGCGTCTGAATTGTCCGCTCACTCTGCCCGTTAGTCTGTGGGTGGTATGTGGTACTAAAATGCAGCCGCGTACCCAACTCCTCATGAAATTTCTTCCAGAACCTGGAAGTGAAACGCACATCTCGATCCGAGACAATCGAGATCGGAACTCCATGTCGCGAGACCACCTCTCTCACATACAACTCTGCCAGTTTCTCTACAGAAGAGCTCTCACTAATGGCGAGGAAGTGAGCGCTCTTCGTCAATCGGTCTATAATCACCCAAATTGCATCGACACCCTCGCAGTCCTTGGCAATTTGGTGATAAAGTCCATAGCAATCTGTTCCCACTTCCACTCGGGAACCTCTAAGGGTTGCAACTTACCATGCGATCTCTGGTGCTTGGCCTTAACCCGACGACAGGTTAGGCATCTCTCAACGAACCATGCAACATCCCTTTTCATACAAGGCCACCAATACTCCTTCTTTAGGTTCAGATACATCTTAGTGGCCCCGGGATGGATCGAGAACTTCGATCGATGTGCCTCTTCCATCAAGATGGTACGCGTTCCGCCCACAAACGGTACCCAAATCCAACCCTGAAATGTGACCACACACATACTTTCCTTTCTGCCAATAGGGCTTTGAGTGACCTAGAACTTGTGGGTTAGGGAGAATTATTGGAGGTAGTGGAAGTGAAGTTCCACTACAACACGAAAATGTAACACCCAAAAACCTGGTACATCTTGAAACCCTCAAGATTTTACTTATGAGCATAATTGGTCCCTCGAGTACGTTGGGTGTACCTATGAGTACGCTTAGCGTACTCTGCATGATTGATTGTGGAGGATACATGAGGGTACGCCATGCATACGCGTCAGAGAGTCAAAACCCTAAACCCCATCCTTGTTCCCCTATTTAATCATCTTTAATCCTCTTGAACCAACCCTATCAGCCTCTTGAGCCTCTTTTCATCTACTTTTAGCCGTGGTAATGTATGTGAGAGTTTTGAGCTTAAGGAAAGGAGTTTGGTGGGCATTTTAGAGTTCTTTCAGGAAGGAGATAAAAGGTTGTGCAAGCTTGGGACGAGTTGATGCTTCAAGATCCTGCCTAGTAGTCTTCTTTCAAAGCTTCCGGAGGTATAAAGTTTGCAACTTTCCATCTTAATCTCTAGATATAATTAGGGTTTCTTATTTGGTCCCTTTTTGGATGGTTTTGGTTCTCCTTTGTGAGTTAAGCAACTCCAGGAGAAGGGATAGATATATTTGAGGTCCTTTGGCCCTTTAGTACCATAAAAATGGAAGCTTTATGAGAGCTTTGGCCTCATGCACGAGTTAAATACCTTGGAAAGGTCTTGATGGAGAAGTTGGGTGTATATGAGTCATGCAAACGCATAAAGTTGCCAACTTTATGCCTTAGGACATCTTTACAGACTTAGATGTGGCTTTTGGATGTAAAGGACTTGAGTATTAAGCACTTAATGGGGAAAGTGCTTAAACCGAGGCTACGTTGGGCATAATCCAGTGTACGCGGGGCGTAGTCCCATGTCCCAGTACGCTGCATGTACCAGGATGGTACGCCGAGCGTACACAATGCAGATGGGCCGAACCTGTTTTGGGCCCTTAGGCTATTTGGGCCTCATTTGATTATTGGGCCTGGTGTAAGCTGAGAATTAGGAATCATGTAATTGTTGTGGGCCATATAATTAGTGTTGGGCCTTTATTGGGCCAAGAAGCCCATTAAGGACTTTGTACTTGGGCTTTGTGCCCATTAGCAATGGATGGACATTTGGGCCTTATGGAAGGGTTTGGGGAGCTGGGTTCCCTTGGTTAACCAAGGTTCTAACACTGATTAATATTATCATTCAACTTAGGAGGTTTCAGACTGTCAAAAGAGCAGCTATTGTATTCAGCAGACAGGGGTGAGTCTTCTCACCATACCTATGGGTCTAAGGCACCAAGGTTGTCCTATTATGTGATGATGATATATGTGTTAGTATTTCTGTGACTTTATATGATATGTGACTGTGTGTTTTGCATGAAGACTCTGGGGGAGCCTGTGGCATTGGATGTAAGACCATGTGGAGTAGCTCATGGCAGTCCTAGGTAAAGACTATGTGGGGTAGCCTATGACATTAGATGTCAGACCATGTGGGGGAGCCCATGACAGTTCTAGTTAATGACCATGTGGGGTAGCCCATGACACTAATACAGGTTTTATGTATGCATGGATTATGTGATATGTGTGTAGCTTTAATTAGCTAACATGTTGTGTGTATGTGTGGTGTGTGGTATGCTCTGGGGAACTTACTAAGCATTTCGCTTATAGGTTGTTGATTTGTTTCAAGTACATCTGAGCCCAAGGGCAAGGGCAATGCGTGATGGCGTGACGTACACTCTATCTATCTCTTTCACTAATAGGAATTAGGGACACTCTGATAAATTGAATAAGTTGTAATGAACCATTGATTTGAAAACAATTATGTTGGGATTTCATGATTTATACTATTATGTTTTATTAATTAAAAGTGAAAAAATTCTTTAAAATTTGGGTCGTTACAAGTTGGTATCAGATCCTTAGTTTGAGGGATTCGGGCACGCTCTCGGGTGTGTCAGGTCTCAAACCGATGAAATGGTAAAAAAAATTTCAAAAGTAACTTAAAAGAGTTTTCAAAAGGAAGTGAAAGATGAGAGTGCAACGCGCTTGATTAGCTGAGCCAAGTAAGTAGTTCCCCAATATGTTAGCCATGTTATACTGATAATTGAGCCTTGTTGATTATATGGAACTTGCTATGTGGATGTTTTTAAAATTGTATACGGTTAAGAGCTTATAGCCTCATAATGATTGATTTAACCTTATTTCCTGTTCCTTGTTGGATTGTGGTCCTAGGGTAGAGTCTCTAATTCGAAATCCTATTTGATCCTTTCTGTGTACAATTTGCCTACATAAGGGCAACCTGTCATGATTGGTTTGGTTGATATGAGTAGAGTAAATCTTAGGATAGCCTGAGGCTGGTATACTTGGTAATTGTGGGGTAAGGTTTGGTTGTGGGGCAAATTGAATTTATCAGGTAGAGCAGTGGGGAAAGGTACAGGTAGTTGTGGAAGGTAGTATTGGGCCCGTACTACTGGAAGCACATGACCTGTACCCGAAGCACTGTTAGACCTGACGACCTCAAGGAGGGCTAATGTGGGAAGATCCCTTATATGGAAATTCTGATCATTATAATTTATGATATTTTAGTCCAACATGGTGGTGACATGTTTTGGAGCGGGAGGATCAAGATCGGGGTCTGGATCTGGGCCGGAATCAGGAGACACTACTGATGTCATTGATGAGAGGTTGCGCGAGCTGATTGCTGCCGAGGTTACCAGGGGCATCCTTGATGCGACCCAATTATATTTGGGACGGTCAAGGAGGTCATTATGGATATTATGGAGGAGAGACTCAAATCTTTCAAGCTGAGTTGGCGGCGGGTCAGGTTGAGACTCGAACTCCCTTGTTCCGGGAGTTCAAGGTGTGTGGGGCGTCGGAGTTCTTCAGGGTCAAGGACCCCATTGTTAGTTGACGTTGGATAGCGGACATCGAGAACATCCAACGCACGACTTCTTGTCCGGATGCGATAAAGGTTGGGTTTGCTTCGTGTATGTTGAGAGACAGGGCCCGTGATTGGTGGGCCGAGGTTACTAGTCAGGTGGGGCCAGCCAGAGTGGCTGAGATGACATGGGCCAAGTTTGTTCGACGGTTTAATTTAGAGTTTGCACTACCTATTGAGGTGCAACGTCTAGTGAGGGAGTTTCATGATTTGTAGCAGGCCACCAAGACTGTGGCGGAGATCACCGCCAAGTTTCGAGAGTGAGCTTTATTAATCACACAGTATGCTACCGACGAGGAGATGAGGAGGACCCGATATCATTCCATGTTGAGGGATGGTATTAGGGAGTTTGTGAGTTTTACAGGGTGCAAAACCCTAAATAAGATGGCGGAAAAGTCCCGTGAGAGGGAGATGGAGATGGAGCTGGATACATTTCTTCTCTGACAAGACCTATTACTAACTGCAAGACCTAGACCAAACCATTATTCTAAGTCCTTCAATCTCCCTTTGGTTTGGACTAGCCTAAGGTCATCCTTAGTTGACTATCATAACATCCATCTGCCCCATAGCTCCGTTCCACATGCGTTTGTTCAAAATTTCTGCAACCATCGTCGGATACGCTTTCGCACCGTCTTCATATATATCTTCAACAACCTTGATTTGAAAGTTGCTAAGATAATGAATATCCCACTTCCGAAATTGCAACATGTCTCTTCGATCATAGAGTCTGATGCATCCATTTTTGAGTTTAAGGACTGCACCAGAAGTAATTTCGTCAAAGACCCAACACTTCAACGAACCAAGAGACCCATCCTGATAAACTTGAAGCACCGAAAACTGTTTAACCTGTTTTGTTGTGGGCCACATTACTACTTGCAATGGTTTGTCGGTAGAGCGATCCAAAACATCTGGATGTTCAAAAATCACAGATTCTGCAGTCGACATGGAAGAAAACCCCTTTTTGACTTGATCATCCAGGAAATGCTTGAATTAAGTTACTTGTGGATTGTTAATTAAATTGATGAAGGGAGCTCGAGACAACTTTGTCAAGTCAATCCTCATGAATGAACTAAAATCATGGCTATCTCTGTACAACTCAGAGTTACCACTTTTTCGTATCACAATCCACATCTTTAGGGGATCATGAAATCCCCAAGAAGCAACTCCCGATCGATCCTCAAAAGTATCTCGGAACCGAACCACTTCAAGATCTGTCATTGTGATTAATGGTTCATCCCAAGAAGCATTTAGGTTAGGGTTCCTCTTGAACAGTAATTTCCCTTTCTTCACTTCTTCATCTTGATCACGATGTATGGTTTCTGTTACATGTGGTGCCAGAGGAGGTGCATCATCTTCACGACTAGCAGTACCAGATGATTGACCGACAGGCAAATCAACTGGGAAAGCTTGCACATGAAGATTGATCCTTCGTTCTTCAACAAATGTTTGATACTTGTCCCCACGGTCTTCCTCGAGCTTCTTATTCAGTTCAAAATAGCTTGAAGTTATCAGGTTGAAATGATCTTGTAAGTCAGAGATCTGCTTGGACTTCAACCTTTTATCTTTTGTGAGTTCAGCCATTTTCACTCCAAGACTTGATTTATCAGATTGCAACTCGGAGACTTTAATACTAAGCTTAGAATTTTTGGCACGAAGTTTCGTTACTTGAATGTCAAACTCAATATTCTTTTGGCTTAGAGCTGAAATTTCCTTTTGTAGACCAGAAAGGGTTAGATTATCACCCCTAGAACCACCTTCTTCAATAGAAACACCCTTTCCTCTAGGATTTGGCGTTAGAAGTTGTTCTTCAGCCATGTGCAAAGCCAACCTCTCGGATGCATCATCACGATTATATCTTGGAATTGTAAAGTCAGGTGGAACAGAGGGACCTCCGACATTAAACGATGAGCTTGAACCTATTGGAAACATCTTAGTTGTTGTAAGTCTGGTGGTAGCAGCAGTAACAGGTGGTGTTGGAAGGTCGCTAATTAAACTTGCTACCGGCTCGGATTGTCTCACATCTCTTCTTTGCCTCTTAGACGGATGTTGGTCATACTCTGGAGTAAAAACACTTGCAAATGGTTCAGTAGTAGGAGAAACAGATACAGGAGGGGAACATCCTATAACTATCTCCATAGGAATTGAAGCAGTCACCATTTGCCCCGATGTTGGAGTCTTAGTTTCAAAAGTTTCACTTGACTTCCTAGTCTCAGTTGTTGGAGTAACAACGTCATCGACATTGTTGAAAATGGTATCAAGGTTCTCGTGTGACACTACATTTGCACTGCTAGATAAGGAAGCAACAATATCATCATGATCGAAACTTGTGAGGTCAAGATCACTGAAAGAGTCATTCCTATCTTCCCCAACATTCTCTCCCATATCAACATTCATTTCCACATCATCTTGAATATGACCTAACTCTTTTTCATGTTCTGAAGCTATTTGAGTGTCAGGAGTTGGTGTATCTTCTTTCTCAGTTCCCTCATCTTCAGAAATATCAATGACAACGTTATTTGGAGACGACTTTTCTGCAGACGCCGGCTCAGACGAGGTTTGTTCAGACAAACCATATGACTCTGTGGGTTCATCTAACTCCGTGAACTTTCCGAACTTCTCAAATGGATGCAACCCCTGAAAAACAACTTTGCCTCTGCGGTTTTGCTTGATGAGTCCCACCGTGTGAGGACCCAAAGACTTCATGTCGAGAGTTTCTCCTTCCTTCCTCACATCTGGAAACTGAATATTGATAAACATATGAATAAAACGAGGATATAAGAGGAAGGTGTCCCGGGTGGAGGCTCTAATGTTGATGACGAACTCATCCAAGATGAATTTAGAAAAAATGAACCTCACACCAGCAGCAAGAGAGACGAGAGCACCAGTTGTGCGTTGAGAAATCTCATCCGCTCCTGACCTTCTGCCTAAAACGCAACTAACGAACACGTGCGCCAGGAACCTCCAATACGGATGCAGTAACTTTTTCAGTGTTGGTGGAGAAGTTCCGTCATAGCTCATTCTTCGAAGAATTCGTTGAGTATCTTCAATCCCAATTTCGGTCGGGAAATTAGGTTGATCATCAATAATTAGTGCCTCTCGAATGAAACCTTCATTGATCACGATCTCACGTCCCTGAACCTTAGCTTTCACCGTGAAGTCACCATCGTCATCCATGTTTGTTCTAGCGGTCGCCCAAAATTCTCTAATCAGATTCTGATACACGACTGGGTTTATAGTGATGGCAGACGCTAAACAACATTCCTGCAATCGGTGAATCATTGAGCGCATGTCTGAGTGAATCGTCGGAGGATCTGCAAGCTCGATGGCGAGATTGTGCATGTCTGCAAACTTTAAATTTGCCATTTTTCTGCACTCAACCACAAACTGTAAGAAAAATCATGTAAACAAAATTGAATTTTATTTTGACCAAAAAATATTTTACTAAAAGAAAATGATCAAAACAAAATTTACTTGAAAATTTAATTTTAAGAAATAGTTGACGGTCGAGACACAAACACCTGATTCAAACATTTTTTTTTTTGAAAAGCAATAACCGTTAATTTTTTTTTGTTCTTGGGCCGTAAACTCGAAGTTTACAGCCTAAGAATTATAGCAAATTTATCACACCAAAAATAACACAATGATTTAAACTAAATTTCGAGGGCAGTAAGCTGAATGTTATTGGGCTGTAAACTCCAAGTTCACGGCCTAAAAGGAGTTTACGGCCAATGAACATCATTTCGAAAAAAATTCACAAAAATCACACCAATACAATTAATTGATAAACAAAGCTTTAACAAGTGCATATAAATGTGTGAATCGCAACAAAAAAACAACGATTTAAAGTCAAAACGGAGTTTACGGCCCAAGCTTACGGTCGTAAGCTCCGTCGGAGTTGTTTTCTCGATCTCCGATTAATTTACGCAGTGAATAATGCAATAAAATACATACTTGTGATCCAAAACTTATTATCTACGTGATGGTTGAAGCGGATTTTCAAAAACACGAACGAAAATTTTTGAGGGTTGAGAGAGTTTGGAAGAGGTTTGCGGCCGGAATCTCGTGAATGAGGAGATTCCGGCAGTGAACACCTTATTTACCCACAATAACCCTTTTACTGATAACTCCCAGTATTTGGCAGATTCCAACACAATTAAGAATTTAAAAAAAAAAAAAAAAAAAAAAAAACTTTTGAGGATTATTATTTATTTATTATTATTATTATTATTTTAAAATTTCGGCACAAATAAAAATAAAATAAAATAACAAGATTTTAAACAATCTAAAAATTTAATTGTGGAAAAGAAAATTTAAAAAAATAAAATAAAATAAAATAAAAAATAAAAATCAAATTAAATTAATTTGACAAAACAAAAACTTAACTACTATAACTCATTTTGTGATGCTAAGATCAAAGTTTTTAGACAATCTTTATCCACTTATCGATACCTTTCATATTCACATTTTGTCTGGTCGATCATCGGTATTGTGGTCTACTTAAACACGAAAAATTATGACAGATTTAGGACATACTATTTGTTACAAGACAGGGTAAACTTAAAATCCTAAAATTTATATCTGATCCTAATTCCTTATATACTATATCTTAAAGACCATTCATCTGACAACGACCAAGGATATTGTTGTCCACCTAAATTGAGCAATGAGATCTATAGGCAATCTGTATGAGTTTAATTTTAAGTGTACTGGAACGTGTTTCTCGCTTCCTGATATGCCCCAACCATCAAGAACTTCCAGAGTACTTCTTACATCGGGTGAGCAGACAACCATTCAGAGAGAGAATAGATTCAGAATTCTATTACTTATTACTTCAGAGGGACTGAGAAGAAGAAGGTTGCATATGTTGTGTACCAGGTTGGATTAGAAGTCACGCAAAGGAGACAACATATGGCTAACAGATAAGAGGAATTTCATATATATATATATATATATATATATATATATATCTTGTAGAGAAATAGATTTGCATATGTTGTGTACCAGGTCGGATTTGAGGTCACGCAAAGGAGACAACATATGACTAATAGATAGAAAGAAAGAAAACAATTTTCTACAGACCTAATTTATCGGAATTTACCAGTCGCCCCATCCAACCAGAATTAAGGATAAAATCTACACATCGAGGAAAAGTTAAGCCACGGTTCCAAGCACGGGTTCAATTAATGTGACGAGTAGATTCCCATATATATCTCCCTGCTCAACCTATCCGAGCGTCGTATTGTCAGATTGAACGAATCTAACTAGGTCAAAATTTGTCAAGTCTATAAATTTCCTAAGTTCAACTCTGTCTAGTTGATGTGTGTGAAACGAACTAGTTTTAATCCTACTAACTTAAACACAAAGACAAACACACGAAAGGCAGTGTACCTATCGATTAGCAGTTTAGTTCAGGTAAGTAGGGTATCGAACACAGGGAATGGTAAACAATTAAAATAGATGCTAATATTATCTAAATAAAACAAGTAATAGAAAGGGGGTTTTCTCTAGTTTTGCAAGACTAGAAACTTAAACAATTAACTAAAACTTAAACTAAGAAACTAAAAGCTAAGCAAATAAAAATCAACTAAATTTAATAATAAAGAGGACTTCTATTTAGGTTCGACTCATTTGTTCCCATGGATGATTTCAATGTATCGGATTAATTCTTCACTGGCTACCGACTAAGATGATTAGTTTCACGTTTGCTATTACTAATCCTTAGGAAACAAATTAACTCAAGCAGTGGCCAGTTGTCTAAATTAACGAATTTCCTAGTTATTGATTCGGGTTAAATAAGACTTGTAATGGTTAATTAAATTGGCCCTTCAATTAACCTCTTGCTGATGTTCATCAAACAATCTCACACATTAACTTACCTATCTTCTAGTTAATTCTAGTTTCACATTCGTTATTCCTAGACATACAACTACGTGGTCACAATAAATCATATGAAATTAATAACTAAGAGATGTTCATACAACTTAATTACTGATTTATTAACAGAAGAATAGTTATTGTTAACACATAAGGTTCTTTAACAAGCTTAATAAAACATAATCACCAATTAAAATTAATCCTACTCAAATAATTAATCCATGTTCACAAAATTGTCTACCCAAACAGAAGTTATGAGTTTTTAGCTCATGATTACAGCAGAAACAAGCACAAAAACGAAATCAATTGGTAAAAACATAGTTCAAACAAGAGATTAGGTAAGATTAAACTTGATTTTGACTTGATTCTCCTTAAAATTGAATGTAGGGTTGATTCCCTTGCTTCCCACGCTCCAACAGCACCTTTAGTCGACAATTGGCCTCCAAGGGTTCATCCATATGCTAGGGTATCGATCTGAAAGTCCCTTTATATAGATTTTCACAAAACAGGGGCTACTCGGCGAGTCCATTGACCTACTCGGCGAGTCCATCACTTAAAACCCGTGTACGGCAAGTCAGCGCGTCCAAAATCGCGAAACTTCAGACCAACTCGGCGAGTAATCGACCCTACTCGCCGAGTACGTTTGGAATCAGCATTTTCTCAAAACACGAAAGTCATCCGAAATTGTGTCTAGTTTTCAGAACATTTTGAATCTCGTCAATCGAAGTTACGGTTCATGAGATATGGCCAAAACACTGACAAGGGGTCAAACTGTCCAGCAACATCCTTCTTTTTTCAAAATCCAAGATCCAAGCCTCCAATCGCTAGTTCCGCTTCCTTTTCCTTCCAAGCATGTCTTTGTTGCTGAAGATGAAATATTTAATCTAATTAAGCACCTTTTGTTCATTAAATGAGACAAAAACAACATAAAGTATTAAGATAATGCATGAATTTTATAACTAAATATGCCCATATCACTAGTCAAGTCCATTTGGAATCTTTCGTGCCTACCGACGCATCAAGTCAGAGCAAAGACCCTTCAACTTTGGGTACGTTACGCAGACTCAGGTTGCCTGTTATCACTTGATAATATCACTTCCCAGTCCTTCAACAGCAAGCAAGACCATTAGCAACACTAAATTTTTAATTTTTTTTGAAGTTTTTAATGTTTTTGGATTTTTTGTTTATTTTTCTTTGTTTTTGGATTTTTTTGCTTATGGATTTTTTTTTGTTTTATTTCTCCCCCTAAATTTGTGCATGGGTGAGAATAAAAATATAAAAACACAATGCACAAATTTAATCTATCCTAAAAACAAGAAACCAAAAGGAAATAAAAATAAAGATAAAAGAAAGTTCAAAAAAAATTGAAAAATGAGAATAAATTTGAGAAAAAAGAAAAGAATAAAAACAACTTAATCCTCAAAACGTATCATTTTCAGAAATCCTACAAGCACATCGAAGCGAGCTTTGTTAAATGGCTTTGTGAACAAGTCCGCCACATTATTATCAGTGTGGACCTGTTCTAGCCGGATTAATGATCGTTCATAACAGTTTCTGATAAAGTGAATTTTAATGTTGATGTGCTTGGTTTTAGAGTGTTGGACTGGGTTTTTAGCAATTTGAATTGCCGCTTCATTATCACAATAAATGGGGGTTTCAAAATAATTCAAACCGTAGTCCAACAGCTGATGTTGGATCCAGATAACTTGAGAGCAGCAAGCTGATGCAGCAACATATTCCGCTTCTGTTGTGGAAGTCGAGACAGTGTGTTGCTTCTTGCATTGTCACGAAACTAGCCTGTCACCTAGGTATTGACATCCTCCTGAGGT